TATCTATATATATAGATAGATAGATAGATATAGATATATAGATATAGGTAGTGCCGAAAAAAATAGACAGTATATACTGTGTAGTTGTTTTCTATAGCTGATGTAACGTGAATTGCTCCTGTGTGGGATCAATAAAGTTCTTATCTTAGCCATCTGAGAAGATCAAATACATTGTTTTTGGTGCCTAACTGTTTCCCAAGTATATTAGTGCGTGTGTGAATGAATAAACGAGAGGCATTAACGTAAATTTCTTTGTAGAAAGGCACTTTATGAAATGAAGTCCATTCACTTCTATTAGTTTACAGCGCAGCCTTGCCACATCCAATATGGCGGCGATGTTGACGTATCGCGGCAGCGGGCAAACCCACTCGATGTGGCGTCTACGTATATATGTCTATGAGAGAAAAATGGTGTAGGTTACAAGTCCTAATATACTTGACCCATCAATTCAACCCTGAACTCAATCCCCTGTGCATTTATCATGCTGTCACAACATCACCCTATTTCCTACTTTGTCCCTGTTTTAATTCATTTTTTTTTCTTCTCTAGACTCAAAACTCAATTGGTCTGTTTTAGTGCTTACAAATAGACCTTGAATCCTTTGTAAAAATCCTCCTCACAGCGTTGCCAGCAGTTGAGCTAAAAATACATCATTTGTCCTGAAGAAAGAGATAAAGGACATGGGGTCATACACTTACGTTTAGTGACTGGAGGCCTATACTTGTAGGCAGAAATGACTGCAGACGTGATTCATTTGGACAAAGTAATTGTTATTCATGTCATGATACTGTACACAAGAGCAATGTCCAACGAGCATAATTATAGATTTCATACCAACCCATCTGAGCTTGCGCTGCTATAGTTGCGCTGCCTTTGTGTGTGTGTGTGTGTGTGTGTGTGTGTGTGTGTGTGTGTGCTAGTGTTCATGCTACATAGTGAAGACCGAAACATGTTTCTAACCAACAGAGTGAGGACATTTTTGGATAGTGGGGACTTTGTGATTGGTCCTCACTTCTTGGTTTTAAGGTTCAGGTTAGAATTATGTTTAGGTTAGGTTTAGCGTAAGGCATTTAGTTGTGATGGTTACAGTTAGGTTAGGGGCTGGGAAATGCTTGAAGTAAATGAGGGTCCTCACAAAGCTATAAGTACAGGGATGTGTGTGTGGGTACCTGTACTGCTGTAGAAGGCCAAGCGAGATGTGGTGTGGAACTTCTGGATGAGGAACTGTGATAATGAGATACGATCATCAGTGCTAAGAGACTCATCACCGCTTTTCCAGTACAGCATCAGGTCTTCATCTGTGTAAGCATCTGCAAAACATCACACACTCCAGTCACATTTAGTCAGACTGATGTGAACTGATGTGAAAAACTTGTTGTTCAGGTCAATCTTCACTTGGATAAATAAAAGAATAACGTGATGCACAATCCTGCAAAAAGCTGTGTAATGGGTAAAAAAATATAAATAA